CGCCTCGAAAAGGTTTCCCATGGTACCGATCATAGAGGGTACTAGGAGGGACTTTATAAAGCCGTGCAGCGGGTCTGATACGTAGTTTGGGATTATTTTGAAGAGCTTGAAGGGCAAGGATAATGTCCGCCTCTTTATTTGATTGTGACATATTTCGTGGTTAAGAAATAATTGATTAAATGTAAAAAGAGGAAGCTGAGGGATTTTGTCCGACTCGCTTGTGGGGTACGTTACCCTGAAAACGAGAACACATAGGAACCAACAAAACACCTCATCCATGCTCAGCGACTCCTGAAGAACTTCCACCGACAAGGAAGGGTGGATCGGTAAACTGCCCCAGACCAAGGGAATCCCATTCGGACTGTTCTACGATCGCTGACCAGTCATGAAAAGTACCCTCAGAAATAGCTTGTTCAAAAGCAGCGTTCTCGTCCTTTTCCGTCTGTTCCAACTCATCGATCGAGTTAAGCCCTCTGCGCAACATGTCCAAACCTTTGGACTCGACCTGTCGTCGCTGACGGCGCAACCGAGTAATCTGCGCGAGCTTCGCGTTCATTTCGTTATGGATACGAGTAGATTCTGCTTGCAACAACATGAACTCCCCTTCAACCTTCTCTTCCGCCTCTTCCAGACGACGCTGTTCTTTTGCAACCTTTCGAGCTGACGTCATCTCAACAAAGGTACTCAAACCACAGGGAGTAGAGAAACTTACCAGCCGCAACCGAAAAACCTTCACTATCGCACGAATAATCCGCCTTGATACAACTGTCGCATCGACCAGAAGACATGGGAGACACGAGACAGGACAAACCCCGTTTCTCGCAGTTGAAACATGGCATGACGGCGCCACCAAAAGATTCAATAACGATTTAAAGCGCTTAACGATTCTGGGTGGAAACACGCTTCTTAGTTACGGTTAGACATTGTGAATACTTAAGGAACTGAGTTTGACTTACCAACGAAAGAGGTCTTCTTGTAGGCCTTGAGGGCAAGACGACTGAGACAAGGGGTTTTTGCAGGTAAAGCGAGATTCCTCATGGCTTGTTATCACAACGATAGGTATTTGACCTCAGTTCACGCCAACACTCAGGCTAGGCTCTGGCTCTGTAACGTGATTGACGCGCAGGCCGGAGAGAATCTGCACATAAGTGGGCACGGAGCCGACGGAGGTGAAGTAGCCAATGGCAGCCCTCGGAATGGTAGTCCGTGGGAGTGGCCAATGGACGTCCTCAATATCGGAAGCCTGTGGCAATGGTTCATCTCGCCACTTCGCGTCATTCCACAGCGATAACGTGCCAGCCAGGGACGAATCACTATCTCTTTGAATGAATGAATGAATGAATGAATTTATTTCGCCCCGGAGGATACGCCTCACTGGGCCCATAAGACAGATCTCGTTACACTGTTTTCCAGCTCCTAGCCCTTAGAGGCTTAACCTCACCAATCTCTACATTCTGCCGTTTTCCCCAGCCTCGCTTGTCCCTGCGACAGGCCTGCTCGAAGGCCAACTTCTCCAAGTGTTCAGCGTCCCATCTTCAGCGGCTGAACCCTGGTCTGTCTGCTAGAGGCTGTACTATATTAGTTCTTGCTGTATTATGTTGTTTGGTTTGTTAGTATACCTTGTATGTTTTCATGTCTATGTAGCATCCAGAAGGCCTGTGCTTATCGCAAACTTGATCGCTGCTCGCACTGCTACCAGGTTCGGCCTCCACTTAGGCCGGTCTTGCCTCCAGCGCAGCCCCCAAATCAAATCCAATCAAACAAATTGCCAAACAAATCAATCAAACAAATACAATATCCTCGATTTGAAATAACATTTGATAGATTTGATACACAACATGCCATCTAGCCTCCATGCTGCCAAACCGTCGACCGCGCTTTCACAGCTTACCCGGAACCTGGCTGGTGAGCAACCCCAGCCAATCAAAGTCATCCATCAAACCCTCCATTAGTGAGCTACCCCAATACCACCGTCAGGCTGGTGGGGAAGAAAGTAGCTTCTTAACTTTTACGTCCCGTCCTAGCGACATCAAGTCGCGTCAGTGCTAGTTTGTTTACCTTTCAACGCACACCATTCCTCCCACGAGTCGACGCCTAACCCGATGGAATCCGACGACATCATGCTTCCTTCGCCTCCACCCTCTGCCTTTTCTTTTCTTCGACCACCGAGGAATTTGGCGAGTCAATTCGAGCTGACGACGCAGTCGGCATTGCCAGACCACCCTACTGTTGCAGATCTTCCGCGAGCAGTGTGGAGGAACAAAACGTTATGTTTTGGAAGAGTCCTTGTCCCAGAAGGGCTCAAAGGGTCGGAAGAGCTGGATCAAGCGCCATGGAATTTTTCTTGTTGAGATTGATACTAACGACAGTCCGCTGAGTCCTTACTGGGCCTGTCGTCTGTGCGACGCGAAGGGTCAGCCTGAGTTCTTCGCCGCTGCTGCTACGAGTTCGGCAGCGGACCATCTCCGCAAGTATGTGAATGTGAATGTGACGTCGCGAGCTTGAGCACTATTGACCAACGCCAGGTCTCACAGGATTTTCGAGAGCAGTCAAGCAGCTGATCCAGATCTGTCAACCGATGAATCTGAACGGCCTAAGCGACGACGCTTGCAGTACAGTACTGTGCCGCGCGCCAGAGTCAAGACGATCCGAGAATTGAGCCTGGGACTTCTAATTAACACCAATGTTCCTTTTTCCTTCTTCAGCGATACATTCTTTCAGCAGCTCGCTTGGCAGCTTGACCCTCACCTATCTGACCAGATACCATGGAGCCGGCAATCGATGGGCCGTTTGCTGGATGACACGTACAAGTCTAAGAAAGATGAGATCAAGCAGGAGCTCTCAGATGCCCTTACTAAAATCCATCTGGGGTTCGACCTGTGGACATCGCCTAATCGGCATGCTGTTATGGCAGTCACAGCTCATTTTCTTGACCGCCAGGGCAAGCACCAGTCGCGCCTATTGGCACTCCGTCGCCAGCTCGGGTGTCATAACGGAGAAAGTCTTGCGGTGACGCTCGGGCAAGTTGTGCGAGAATGGAAGATAGAGGACCGAGTCGGAACCGTGATCTCGGACAACGCATCTTCAAACGACAGCTGTCTCGTGAACTTCTACGGAGATCTCGACGCAAAGATGAGTCTGGCGGACGTTCGGGCCAGACGTATGCGCTGCTATGGGCATATCCTGAACCTGGTTGCTCGCGCCTTTCTCTACGGCGAAGATTTCGAGTCTTTCGAGGCCGAATCGCAGGTCTTTGACCTTCTCGGCCGGCGCGAGGATGACCTACGACACTGGAGAAAGAAAGGGCCGGTGGGAAAGCTCCACAATGTTGTCAAATTCATCAGGTCTTCCCCTCAGAGGTGTGAGCTCTTCAAAAGGATCTCACACGAGAACGACGAAGCACAAGAATACCTCTTGGCGAGTGAGTCAACGGCGGAGCTAGAGGTCGTAATGAATAACGATACGAGATGGAACTCCACTTACCTCATGATCTCTCGAGCGCTCGTCAAGCAGGGAGACATCAGAGCGTTCTTGGTCCACCCAGAAGTGGAGAAATGGCTACCAGAGGCCGACATGCTGAAGGGAGATGACTGGAGACTGTTGGCAGAAATCACACTTATTCTTGAGCCATTCTATCTACAGACTATGAGAACGCAGGGCTGGGGCAGCGAAGGAGGTATCGGACGGCTCTGGGAAGTGATGGCGGGTATGGAGTACTTGCTGGAACACCTAGAGGATCGGAAGCTGTTCCATCATGCCGTTCCAGACGAGGCAGGGGGACAGGACACCAACTCGCAGGCCGAGCTGGCTCGAGGGCGAACAGACCGTAACCGGCAGCTTCCTGCTCGATTTAGGGATTGCGAGACGGATATCCATCCGCGAAAGTCCAGGCAAGGCCCCTTGTCAGATCGTGGCTCGAGACAATGCGATGATGGATCAGGCAAACAATCAGGATCATTAGGAATCGATGACATGGGAAAGGATCACCGACACTATTTAAGGCTGTCCATCATGACTGCCTGGCAGACACTAAACGAGTACTACACCAAGCTTGGAGACTTACCGTTGTTCGCTGCATCCATCATCCTCCACCGATCACTTGGCATGAACTATCTAGAGGTGAACTGGGCGTCGGAGGAGCAGCTTGTGTGGGTGAGGGATGCCAAGATTGGACTGTCTGACTACCTCGACCGTTGGTACCGCTGCAGCCGGCCGGTGGATGAGCAGCAGAAGATGATCATGGACACATCGACATCCTTAAGCGTACTAAGGAAGACAACGGAAGCTAGCGTATTCAAGCAATGGATCAAAAGCAGGACGGCGAAGACCACGGTGATGGGAAGTGAGCTTGAGCAGTAACTACGGCTAGAGCCGCAAGAGACTGAGGACCCAATTGAGTGGTGGATGGCTCATCAGGGACAATTCCCGATGATCAGCCAATTGGCTCTCGATATACTCGCGATACCGGCGATGGCGACTGATTGTGAAAGGTCGCTCAGCCTAGACAAGTTAACGCTGACGACGCAGAGGCTTTCGATGACGACGGAAACGCTGGAGAAGTTACAATGCCTTAAGAACTGGGTCAGACATGGTGCGGTGAAGCTAAGGGCGACAATAGGTAGGGGGGACGAGGTTCAAAGGGAGATTGGAGATGTTAGCATGGAAGCATAGAGGGTAAGATTTGAAATATTTGAAATATTTGAATAAATATTTCAAACAACAAATCCAGTCTTGAGAGTTATCAAATATCTCAAATATGACCCCGGATTTGATTTGTTTGATTTGAGGGCAGCACTGCTGATTATATCGCTTGAGAAGCTTGTTTTCCTCATCGGCCGCAAATTCAGAACTTCTTGCGTTGATATTGTGAATATTATTGAATGCGATATCTAGTTTCAAGTATTCATTTGAGGCAGTTACAGCGGCCACAGTCACTGGCTCGATTGCATGCGATGGCGTGGGTACAGCTGTGGCCGTACAAGCCAGGAGGGAGGCAATGAGGTTCTTGCACGCCACTGCTGAGTGTTTGCGTAGGTTTTCGAGTATTTCGATTCATTCAACGGCAAGGCATGGTTTTATTTTTATTTTTTATAGTGTGAAGTTGCGAACTGTGAACTTGATTTTGATATGAAATGCATGAAGGTTAGGGATGGTAAGCAAGGAATCAAGGAAATGACTTGGGAAAAAAGGGATGAGATATGAAAAGGAAGGCTTCACATAATGCGAACAAGGCAGCAGGCGGGTTTTATAGTATAGTACTCCCATGTTGAAAGTCCATCACGGAGGGTTGCCACATCGTACTCGTCCCGGTCGGCGAGGGGTGGATTGAACCATGTAACATAACATCGCTAATCGTGCTCCTCCTCGTGCTGATGGTGGACGGACTAGATCCGTCCACAAGATTCTCGCTCGTGTTAAAGAATATCTGATGCTCAAATCCAGTAAAACAGTCAAAATCCTCGTCGAGGGTTTGGTTCAATGGTATCTCATTACAGGGCGGTGCAAACGATGAGGCCTGTTCCAACGCCATCGGTTGGGGTAAATCACTGTAATGGAGGGTTTTGGGGTTTGTCGTCGAGCTCGGTCCGAAAAGGAAGCCCTCAAGGTCGAATTCAGTGTTGAAGGCGGCCATTGGCGGCGCTGTCTGCAGGCCGTTGCTGAACTCCAGGCCGCCCAAGGTGTGCGTTTCCAGCTTGGGCAGCCCGTTCTGCACATCTCGGAGTCCTATGGCAGCTGACATGCCACCAGAATCATGGTCCAAGCTGTGGATGGGCGAACCGGCCAGATTCGAGTGTCGGCTATGGATATGGCTAGGGCACATGCCTCGTACGACGGATGTGTTCGCAGCAGCCATCATCTGCATCGTGCTGCCGTCAACATGGGTGATAGTGTTTGCCCGCGGCCTCATAGAAGTGGCCGGTGCATTGGATGCAGTTGGGTTGGGTCGTACGACGCTATTCTTGCGAGCTCGGCTCTGGCCGGGGGCGACGCCGCTGGCAGAGCCGCGACGATTTCGGGGACGTGACGAGGGGATCGAGGTCTGGTGCAGCTTCTGCCGGTGGCGCAGTAGCAGATCGCTGCGGGCGAAGCGTCTTGAGCATTCGGGACACTCGAAGGGTTTCTCCTTGGTGTGGGAGCGCTCGTGTCGCTTGAGATGTTCCAATCGGGCGAACGAGCGCTGGCAAGTGCCGCAAACGTGCGGGCGAGGCTTGTCCGTCTTGGGAGGAATATTCGCTGGCGCCTTGTTGTTCGGAGTGATTGTGAGCGCTGGAATGGTCAGTATGCAGGGTCGGGGCAGGGTCGGAGGGCGGGGTCGGGCTGGAAAAAAAGAAAGGAAAAAAAAAAAACACGAGGGGCAGTGCTGGCGACGGCGGGATTGCTAACCAGAGGGCGGGCTACCGACAGTTGTGTTGGACGAAGGCGGATCGCACATGGCGATTGAAGAGCGTGAGACCCTGACGCCGGAGTCGATTAATCACACTACCAAGGTGTTCCAAACTCGCACAGGTACGCTCGGGCGTCAGCAGGGTTTCGGAGGCGGTGTTGTTGTGGGTCGGCGATGAGCGAGGTTGTTGGGCGGTTGCAATAAGATATAGAGACAGTCTTTGGGCACTTTGCAAGCTCTTCCTGAAGCTGTAGGGCGGCATGACGGAAGAAGCCTGGGCACCCGATCTCCGGGGCTCCAGGGGTCTGCATCGCGGGGGTAAAAGACAGAGACCCAGAAAGAGGCAGGGTCCAGTGAGAACGTTTGTTAATGCTGGTAGAACCGTCAGAATGCGTCATCCCTGAGACTCGCAGCCACGATAGGACCGGCTATAGAATTTCCAGCAGCACAGCGGCAAGGTTGTTCGCCTTGGCCAATATTCAGATAAGAATATCATGACTGCGCTACACCTGCACGAGCTTAGAATGGAGCTCTCACGGAACTTCCCGCTACTTCCACGTTCAATGCGGCTTCCACTGGTAGAAAAATTCCCGTAGAAAAATATGAACTATCGTCATTTTCCTCTCATAATCTGATTCATCCGGATGTGTAAGAAGAGTTTCTGGACGGATCGAGGAGTAGCATAACGTACATGATAAGCGAGCGTCACAGACAAGCGAGCGTCGCACTTTACCCACCTACATCCTACTTTTCATTTAATCAATTCATTCTCAACCATAAACTATGCCACAGTCTGGAATTGAGGTAAATACTCTTCTTGCTCTTCAAGCCCTTCAAAATAACCCAAACTAAGCACCCGACGAGCTGCAAATATCTACCAGGTTAATGAGCATAGGCTACGTCGTCGCCAGCAAGGGATTCAATCTCGACGCGATACCATGCTCAATTCACGTAAGCTATCGAATATAGAAGAAGATACTCTTCTTGAGTTCATCGTCGACCTAGACTCACGAGGATATCCACCGCGATTGAGTGGTGTTGAACAAATGGCCAATCGACTGCTTGATGCCCGCGACGCACCACGCGTCGGCACGCGCTGGGCTATGAACTTCGTCAAGCGACGACCATTGCTCAAGGTACGTTTTGCGCGGAGATATGACTATCTGTTGGAAGAATTGATGGTTCCCCCTCAACTTCAGGATTAAGGTTCAAGATTAAAGTTAAAGTTTGACGTCCTAAAACTAAATCGTAGGACTGTCATCTAGGACTCTAGGGGAGGGCGGCACAATCTTTACAATCTTTACAATCTTTACAATCTTTACAATCTTTACAATCTTTACAATCTTTACAATCTTTACAATCTTTACAATCTTTACAATCTTTACAATCTTTACAATCTTCTTAATAATATTTTAGCGGAGCGTAGGAGCCGGCGCGGCCGTGAGCGTCTTTGATGCAAAATGGACGCGACTGGTGACGTGATCTTGGTACAAGGTGGAGGCTCTGTCGCAGCGACGCGTCGGGCAACAACGTGTCGCTGATGCGGACTATGCTCCGAGCCATGCTTCACGAGACGTCGACTCAGCTAATGGACGAGCAGAAGAAGATGCTCGAGAGACTCTGGGACGCGTTGATGGGCAATCAGCGGATGACAACGCAGATGATGGGTGAGCAGCTAGAGATGGTTCGACAGCTTCATCAGGAAGTTCAGGCGGTCAAGACGCAGGCGGTCGAGGAGTCGAGGAAGGTAGATGAGCTCAGGCGCCTGCATGAGCAGTCTACCAGGCAGCTGAGGGTGATGCGTGAGCAAACGAGCGAACAGATTAGAACAACGCGTGAGCAAACAACCGAGCAATTGAAGATCATTCGGGAACAAACAGCGCGGAACTTTGAGCAGATGCGATTGCAAGTCATGAAAGAAGTAGGGATAGTACAAGGTCAAGCGGCAGAAGAGATAAGGCAAGCGAAGGAGGAACTGAAGCAGGCAAGAGAGGAGATGCAGCAGGCGAAAGAGGAGATCAGCCAAATGAAAGAACAGCTGAATACGATAGCCGGCAACATTTCGAGCGGTGCTCAGACGAGCCCGCAGCCATCGTATGCGGACGTAGCCCGTACCCCACCCACAAGCCAGCCAAGTAACGTCCGCACTCTTTCGTCCATGCGCACTACCCCATCCTCATTCACGGACACCTTGTTCTGTACTATTGACACATCACGGGTCAGCGAGGAGGACAGAGGCAAGGCGCAAGTAGGAGAAGTGCGTCAAGCTATCGAAGAAAAGGTGCGGGCGAGGGAAGGCGGCCAACCGAACTGGCGATGCGCAGCCGTGGTGAAGGATGTAAGGAACGAAGATCGCATCAAGGTAGTGTGCCGAGACGAGGCGGAGCTGCAGCTTGTCAGGGAGGCGGCAGAGAGGACGATGGTGAAGGGCGTGAGGGTTCTCAGAGACCAGCTATACCCGGTCAAAGTCGACGGTGCAAACAGGACGGCGGTTCTAGATTCATCTGGCAATATTCTGCCTGGTGCAGCCGAAGCTCTAGGAAAAGAGAATGAAGTGACGATAGCCAAGATGCACTGGCTCAGCAATAAGGAGAACGGGAAGATGTACGGCTCGATGGTGATCTATGTCACCAAGGCGAGCGATGCGCGACGACTTCTTGACGAGAGATACTTCCACCTCGCCGGAGAGTCGGCCAGCACTAATGTCTTTGAGCGACGCCAAGGCCCCGACCAATGCTACAACTGCTGGGAGACTGGCCATAAAGCCTTTGCCTGCAGTAAAACACAACGATGCGGCAAGTGTGCGGAGACGGGACATCGCCATCGAGACTGCCAAGCGGTCGAACCAAAGTGTGTTCCATGCGGAGGACCACACGAGTCGTTCAGTCAAAACTGTCGGGTGCGACAACTACACATCACTGATGGGCACTAACCTGCGAATCTTCCAGCTCAACGTGCACAAGAAGCATGTGGTGCAGCTGAGCATGATGAACGACAGAGACTTGCAGGAATATGCGGTACTGGCAGTCGCCGAGCCGTACGCCTTGAATATTGAAGGATCGGTGGTGACGACACCAAACAGTCACAGGAACTGGATCAAGTATATACCTACAAAGAGACACGACATGCAGTGGCCGATACGCAGCATGCTCTGAATACGGAGCGACCTAGAGGCGGAACAAGTGCCGATACCGTCGGCTGACCTCACGGGGGCGATACTTCGGTGGCCCGACCGGGAGGTCTTGGTGGTATCGGTATACGTGGCAGGGAAAGATGAGGAGGCCCTACGTACTGCCATGAGGCAACTACATGCGACCATCGGGAGCTTCCGTAACAGCACGGGAAAGAGGACGGACGTTATCCTAGCCGGCGACTTTAACCGGCACGATCAGCTCTGGGGAGGCGACGATGTGACGGGTAGGAGACAAGGTGAGGCGGGGCCGATCATCGACCTCATGGATGAGCATGGTCTACTCAGTCTTCTCCCACGAGGAACGAAGACGTGGGAAGGACCAGGTGGCGAGAGCACGATCGACCTGACGCTCGCGTCAGCCGAGCTGGCAGACGAGATGGTACACTGCGGCATCTATCCGACCGAGCATGGATCAGATCACAGGGCTATCCAGGCAGAGTTTGATCTCGCGATGCCCGAGAGAACAGCGGAACCAAGGTTGTTGTTTAAAAATGCACCGTGGAACGCAATCAGGGAAAGGGTGAAGGAAAAGCTCTCACCACTTCCGTGGGATGGTGATGTCCAGACACAGACAGACAGGTTGATGGATGTGGTCCTCGATGCGATCCACGATCTAGTCCCACGTGCGAAGCCATCACCGTACGCAAAGAGATGGTGACAACAGATCTCACCAAGCTTCGTAGGACGTACACGTTCTGGAGGAACCTGGCAAGGGCCCGGCGTCGGGCCGGTCAACGGATTGACAGCCTGGAAGATCGAGCAAAAGAAACGGGTAAAGAGTACCTTGATGCTATCAAAAGACAGAAGAAGACGCACTGGGACGACTTTCTCGCCGATGGGACCAACATCTGGCAAGCCGCCAAGTACCTCAAACCCGGACATGATGCGAACGGTGATAAGGTGCCTCCGCTGAAGAGAACTGATGGAACAACGACGCAGGACAAAGTCGAACAGGCGGAGGAACTGCTCAACGTCTTCTTCCCGCCGCTGGCAACAGACATAGAAGAAGAAAGCCCGCGACCACGGCGCAGAGAAGTGGCCATGCCGAACCTCACGATGGAGGAGGTGGAGGAGACGGTGATGGAAGCCAAGGCGTGGAAGGCGCCCGGTCAAGACGGACTGCCAGCCATGGTATGGAAGCAGCTGTGGCCGGTGGTGAAGGAACGGGTCCTGCATCTGTTTCGGACATCACTGGACACAGGGCGATTGCCTAGCCAGTGGAGGACGGCCAAAATCATCCCACTCAAGAAACCGAACAAAGGCGACTATAAGATAGCCAAGGCATGGAGACCGATCTCGCTTCTATCGACGCTGGGCAAGATCCTGGAAACAGTAGTGGCGGACCGTATATCGCACGCCGCCGAGACGTACGGACTCTTACCCACCAATCACTTTGGTGCGGCGAAAATAGCTGCAAAGAACGTCAACGACATTGTCATCGCGACCAGTGCTTCCGACAGGGGAGGTCTAGTGGGTATGGGCGGCATCGTGGCCCAAAGATCGCCTGGTCAAACAGACAGGATAGTGGCCAGGTACTCGGCCACGCTCGGGTCACGAGACGATCAGAACCCGTACACCGCCGAGCTGGAGGCGATAGCGATGGCATTGCGATGCATGCCGGATGGTCTACAATGTCGAGAGCTTACGGTGCTGTCAAGTAGCCAGTCGTCACTCAAGGCGATTGCCCGACCGCAACAGCAATCAGGCCAGACCTCCATCCGTCAGATCTACGAGCACATCGAGCGACTGAGAAAGGGAAACAATAGAGTCAAGATGATCTGGGTACCATCCAGAGACGATGACCTCAGCATGAGTCGTGAAGCAAAGAGACAAGCCAAGAAGGCTACCAGAGCGGGATGCACGCCGCAATCGCTACCGTACCAGGCCCGCTCCACGCGGCTCAGGCTGGCAGTGTCGCAGCTGCATCAGCAACGGAAACTACCCAACAATGTAGGCAACTACTCCAAACGGATAGATCGGGCCCTACCAGGCAAACATACGCAAGCACTATACGACATTTGCAAGAGACGAGAAGCCGGAGTGCTCTCGCAGCTCCGCACGGGAATGGCGAAGATCAACAGCTACCTCAACAAGATCGGGGCCGCAGAGTCGGACATGTGTGAATGTGGATGTGGACCAGAGACAATGGAGCATTTTCTGTTCCGATGCACAAGATGGGAAGCAGAGCGTGATGCCATGCGTCGAGTAGGACAAAACATGATGGGCAACCTTTCCTTCTTTCTAGGTGGAAAGTCGGCGTCAGACGGAGCAAAGTGGAGACCTAACCTGGAGGCGGTGCGAGCGACAGTCAAATTTGCGATGGCGACAGGAAGATTGAGCCAGGAAGGAGTTTGAGAAGGAGAAAACAAATGACTACTAATTTTAACATCACAGCTGATTACTAACAACAAACAGCCTCAAGTTGACAGACCATGCTTCAGCTGCTGAAGATAGGATGCTGAACACTTGGAGATGGTATTGGTTGGCCTTCAAGCAGGTCTGTCAAGCAGAGTCAAGCAAACGGGGCTAGAAAAGTAAGAACAGGAAGAGCAGTAGGGCTTTCTTTTGTGTAGAATGGACGAAAAGCGGGGAATACGTGAATAGCTTAGCGTAGCCACAGGCCCTATGAGATCCGTTCTCCCGGGCGTAATAAATACTACTACTACTACTACTACCTTTTATAATACTTACTTATTAACTATCTTATTTAAGTTTTATTTAATTTTAATTACAAAAACTTATATTTTTATAGAATATAAATTAACCTTAGAAATAAATATAACTTAATTTACAACCTAGTAATACCATTCTAAACTCGTATATAAATTAAATATAAGTAAGCTAACCTATAAATATAATAACTCTAAGGGTTAACTTATAAGGTCGCAGGCAGGCATGCCATATAAAATCCCATATTATGGAAAAGTTATAAAATGCTAAGCATCTCCCGGAATAACACAATACTAGACCAATAAGCGTTCCCACTTATAAGTACTTTATAACTCACCTTATAAAGTACCTATAGATAAATGTCTAAAAACGAGTATACCTGAACTTGTGATTAATTATAGGGATGTCTATTTGTGTGTGCTCTGAGGCCATAATTACAACCCTAAGCTAGGGTTTATGGAGTTATCCATCCACTTCAAGTCCACGGCTGGAACATGCACGTTCTGTCTGAGCCCTTCCAAAAAAGATTTAATCTTGCCAGCCACCCATACAGGATTCTCATCGGCAAACCAATGCCCCGCTTTTGGAATGATATCATAAACAGCATTTGTCAAAACTGGTCCCCATAGCGTTCGTAAAAGTCCGACGGGTGCAATGCTGGCCTCGCCACCCAACACAAGTGCTGGAATATCAAGAGGTTTTCCTCGTAGAGTTTCGTTGAAGAACGCTACGTCTGCCTTGACTGTATAGGCTGCGAAGGGACTAAGCATCGCTCTCAAGAAACCAGGTTTTCTGATGCTCGTGACATATTGGTTGAGAACATCTTCGGGAATCACGTTTGCCCCCGCATATGAGGCATGGAAGAAATACCATGTGAGCAGTTCCTTTTCACGGCCGGTAAGGAATGTAGTCGCTAGCTCGGGAATGGTAAACATCGCTAGTTGCCAGTTCGAATTGATGTTCCATTCATAAGTTGG